CCCTAAAAAAACAAAAAGTAAAAGGTCTTCTCTTCCACTGAACTCTTACTCCCCTCCCCCTTTTGGTTATTTTCATTGCAAATGACAAGTTTTCAGTGAAATCTGTTCTTTTTTTTCTCTGATAAATATTGAAGTACAAATAGCAATGCAATCTTAATTAAAAACATGGCAGTAGACATCACCCATAGGGACCTATGCAGTGGAAACTTTTTTTTAGTTGAAATATGAAAATCTAGCTTACCAATCAAACAATGGAAAAATACACGTTTATATATTTTAAAAATATGTCATTAGAACCTTTGTACCATTCTTGAACCAGATTGTACCAGTCTTAAAAAAAAAGAAAATGGAAATCCCCAAACTAACAATCAGCCCTCTTAAGCCTGTGACACTGGGAAATAATATTGACTCTTGTTTTGTTTTCCTCAAAAGTTACATAGTTCAGGGATTATCACTTTGCTCCTTTTCCAGGTTATGAAGTGAAAGAGCTTATTTTCCTTGGTGGGGAGTTGTGGGTTTTCCAGAGACAGTAGTTGGTTTCTGCTTCCCTTCGGGACTGTAACATGGAAACCTGTCCTTCAAGGATACACATCACATTTCTGTCCACTCTGTCTTCCCAGAATCCTTCCAGATAAGGGGAGGGCATGATTTTCCTTACAGAGAGATAAAGGAGGCCAAAAGTGGTAGCAGGACTGCTCAGGTCAATATTATATCCCCCTGTCTCTCTCTCATCTCCTGGTCACCTCCTTTCCTCTAAAGTCTATAGCGTTTGTCACTTAATGTCTTTTGTTGCCATTCATCATTACTGTACCATACTGTGATGCTTAGTGCTTATTCTTTATAAAGAAATTTTAATATGCTCCATCTAGAATCAACTACAGGTTTTCTGTTTTGTAGTACCTTTCTTTACTTAGTCCAGTTTGGATGTAGAGTTAGATTTGATACAAGACTGAAGTTAATTTGGAATTTCAACTTTGTGCTGAGCAGATTCATGTATCTCAGAAGTACTCAAGGGACTTCTAGCTCTACAAAATTAGAGACACATTTTGTATCCCACAAGTTACTGGTTATGTAGAAAAGAGGCTTGAATGGGTTTCATGTTTTATCTGGCCTTTATGGAGTCTTATGTTCTAATATGAGCTCTGACATTTGCTTATATTTGATTTCACCTCTCTGACCTTGTTTCCTTTCCTGTCAAATTAAGGTGTACTATTGGATGTTACCCGGGTC